TCAGAACCCACCAGGAGCACTATGAATCATTGGTAATGTCATTTGGACTAACCAAGGCCCCAACAACCTTCCAATGTGCCATGACTTCGACATTGAAGCCTTTCTTCACAAGGTATGTTCTAGTGTTTTTGATGACATATTGGTCTATGGTAGGACTTAGGAGGAGCACTTGGATCGTGTGAGGTAGGTGCCAGAAACTCTAAGACAAGACAACATAGTTTCTTTGTTAATAAGAAAGTTGCTTTGGAAAAACTAAAATAGGCTACTCGAGAGTCAGGACACATCATTTATAAAACAAGGGAATCCATGGACCCTCATAAGATTGAGGCCATACTACATTGGCCCCTTCCTAAATCTGTCAAAGCTTTGAGGAGTTTTCTAGGCCTTATAGGATATTATAGTTGGTTCATATGCGACTATGGGCAAATAGCTCGTTCATTGACCAATCAAGAAGGGGAATTTTGAATGGGAGGCTAGTATAGAAGCTTTCAGGAAGCAGTCACCTATACATCGGTACTGGCCATGCTTTATTTTAGTCAATCCTTTTCTATTAAATGTGATGCTTCGAGTAAGGGTATAAGAGAAGTTCCGGCAAGGCTTGAGATGATACATCCCTCACCAAGTCTGCTTACGAGAAGGAACTGATGGAATCAGTGTTGGCCATCCAACACTAGAGACCTTACCATTTGGGGCTGAAATTCACAATTGATACAGATCAAAAGAGCTTAAGGTACTTGTTGGAACAAAGAATTACAACTCAAAACCAACAAAATTGGTAGGCCAAACTATTGGGTTATGAGTTTGATATTGTATATAAAGTAGGAGCATCAAATAGGATGGTTGATGCACTCTCAAGAATAGAAGAGGATAAGGAAATACAAGTGATTTCCAAACCAATTTGGCAAGATATCTATGTCATAGATGAAGACATAAGGGTTGGCCCCATGCTAGCCAAAATAAGAGGAAAGTTGAGGCTAGATCCTAACTCTCACCTTCACTACACTTTGAAAAATGATAGTCTACATTATAAAGGATCATGATCATGCCCGCGTGCGCATTGAAGTGATTGTTTAATTTGTCCCAAAGTTGCTAGGAATGCACGCAACTTTGATAACTGATTTGATTTGTTGCTTCCATAGAAGAAAATTGTTCTCTGTCAACTTCTTATAGATCGCAAGAGAGAAAATAGTGATCGCAGGAGAGGAAGAGTGGGAAGAAATTAGTTCCGATGCAAAAGCCATGGATATGGATCAACTAGCTCTTGATAACATATTTGAATTATAGTGAGTGAGTAAGAGAGAGAGAGAGAGAGAATTCTAATAAGAACTGTATATTTTTGTATGTTATCAAAGAAGAACATCAAGCCTAGTATATAAGCAACAAGAATTCAGTTCGAATGTAACTAAACCCTAATAGAAGCTTAACAAAATTAAAATAGTAAATTAAAAATAGTGAAGAAGGAAAGATAAAGCATAGTTGGCCCATTGAATGAACCTGGGCCTACACAAGTTAAGTTATCTACAAATAATACAATCAGCTATTCTATATTCTAACAAGTTCACACAAGGAGAGACATTAGTAGAAGCTATGGCCCAAGACATATGAGATAGGGACGAAGCGTTAAAGCAACTAAAGTTTCATTTGGAAAGAGCTCAAGAGCAGATGACTCACTATGCTAATGCGCAAAGACCAACAAAGGTTCAATTGAGGGATTGGGTTTATTTGAAGATCAGACCCCACAGACTAATGGGAATAACTCAAGTCCCACATCGACTAAAGATAAGGCAATTAAAGAGTATATAAGTGGAGAGCAATCTTCACCTTACAAGCTAGTTTTGTAGGGTTGAGTTAGGCTCAAATCTACTATTCTAAGATGGTATCATAGCTATCCTAGATCATTAAAAAGGGTCACCTATCCTAGATCCTTAAAAAGGGACACCCACCATTTATCCACGTACCAAGCCCAATAGTACTGGATGTGAGGGGATGTATTTGGAAAAACCTAAGTCCCACATCGACTAGAGAGCAATTAAAGAGTATATAAGTAAAGAGCAATCATCACCTTACAAGTCGGTTTTGTAGAGTTAAGTTAGGCTCAAATCCATTATTCTAAGATAGACAGGTTTGATGCCTACTAAGCTCCAACCAAGATGTCAGCTGGGTATTATGGTCCGTACTTGGTTATTAAACAAATTGGAGTTATGACCTTCCAACTATAGTTTCCAATGAATGCCCACATTCACCCTGTTTTCCATTTATCCCAACTTAAGACGATCGTAGGAGATCATGCAGTTAAAGTAAAGATACCTGCAAATCTTCAAGGAAGTTCAACTTGTTATCAACTTGAGAGTATCCTAAACTATTGAATTATTACAAAGTACAGAGCCCAAACGCAATAGATATGCAGTGGCAAAACAAACTTTCGAAAGAAGCCACATGGGAAGATGCCTCAACCATGAGAGACCAATTCCCCTGAGTCCAACCTTGAGGACAAGGTTGTTCCTGAGGAGGGTATACCTAGACAAGAGGATCAGACAATCATAGGGACTAAAAGAACCCTACAAGTCTATTAGAGGAGGAAATGCAAGGCAAGGGGCATAAGGGGTTATGAGCTATTCAGTTAGAATAGTTGGATTTTTGTTAATAAGTTGGTTAGCTATTATTTTCCTTTTTCATATAAATAACCCTCAAATTGAAGAAAGGGGATATTTGGATGTGTTAGAGTTTTGACCGGTAAATCCAGTGTGAAAAGAGAGTCCTCCTTTGGGTACACTTTTGTACTGTTATTTCCCTATTCTTGAAAGATACAAAGATCTTTTTCATTCCCTACTTGTCTTTATCTAGAGTGACTATTGTTTTGTTCTATAGTTGGGATCTGTTTTCTCACTTCTAAAGAGAGGAGCCTAATAGCGCGTGAGATTGACCCACTAGAAAAAGTTGGTCCACATTGATATATGCGGCGGCAATTGGCAATCGGTCAAGCAAGGTGTTGGTTGTTGGAGGGAGGTGCTCCTAATTGTGTGGTTGTGCCAAAGAAACGATAGCTCGATAGTGGCCAGAAGAGGTCTGCAATGTGACGAGTAATGTTCACCTGTGATAAATTGCATGCACTAAGGCAAAAAAAAGAATGAGAATAGTAACCCTAATCACCGATGCCATAAAGGATTACAGAAATTGTGTCACTTTCACACAAGTGATTTTATTCCATAGTAGTCAATCCCGGATAGCGGCGCGGAGCGGTCGACCCTAAAACTAGGATAGCGGGATGACGCGGAGCGGGATAACCGCTATTTTAATATTAATTTATATATATTAAATAATTAATAATATATATATAAAAGCTAAAAAAACAAAAAAAATAACTCTAAATTCATACATTAAACCTTTTTAATAATTAAAAGTTCATAGTACTCAAACAATACATAATATAAAATGTCTCCAAAACAAAGTAGAAAAGAAATTTTAAAAAATTGTTGAATTATATTTAATCAGAAAACAAATCTGATAAATTAAATTTAATCAAAAATTAAAAATACAATTTTCTGAAATTAAAAATAAAATTTTCTGAATTAAATTTAATCAGAAATTAAAAATAAAATCAGCTGAATTAAATTTAATCAGAAATTAAAAATAAAATTTACTGAATTAAATTTAATTAGAAATTAAAAATAAAATTTGCTGAATTAAATTTAATCAGAAACTAAAAATAAAATTTGTTGAATTAAATTTAATCAGAATTTAAAAATAAAATTTGTTGAATTAAATTTAATCAGAAATTAAAAAAAATAATAATTTAATAAAAAATTAAAAAACAAATTATGTTGCAATGTACATAAAGGAGAGAATACTCGAAGGAGAAGACGAACTAAGCGAGGCGCGTCGGACTGGGAGGCGCGTTGGAGTTGGAGGTGCGTCGGAGCTCAAGGCGCGTCGGCGACGGAGGTGCGTCGGAGCCGGAGTTCGTCGGAGCTGCACGCACGATCGCCAGAGAAGAAGAAACAATCTGAGAGGGAGAGACGAGAGAGGGCTGCGACAATTGAAATCGCGAGAGGGAAAGGGAGACTTAGGGCAAAAAAAGCCCCATTGAAAAGACTGACTTACCCTTAATGAAGGGTAAGTCGAAATCGCGCCCGCGATTCCGCGATTTGTGCCGCTCCGCTCCGCCTTCAACGCGGCCGCTCCGGCCTCCGACGCGGCCGCTACACAAATCCGCCACGCGACAGCAGCGAGATTGCGGGGTGAGGCCGCTCCGCTCCGGAGCGCCGCGATAGCGGCCGCTCCGGCCGCTATTGACTACTATGTTTTATTCATATTCATAGGAAGAGATAATCAAGAATACAAAGATAAAAATCCCTAAACTTTAGCTATACAGTATTTTCCTAGTTACTATATTTACATAGAATCTGAACGAATCTTTAACAATACACTGATCAGTCTGATGCATCAAGCTCTTGAACGTCAGTCTACCCCTATGGCCTCCTAGTTCCCCCTTAGACAGGCCACACTTATCCCAGCCAAAACAAAGCTGCTCTGCCCTAAAAAAAAGAAAATTTGACTAATGTAGTCCATTTCAACCTATTTCAATGTGTTTTAGCTCGTTGCAAAATAAACAAAAAGGAAAGCAAGGATTTGCAATATGGAATAGAGATAGGAGCTCCCTAAATATGCACCTACATGAATCTTAATTACAAAATTTTAGTTTCCATATTGCATCTAGCAATAATGCACTAAACTAAAAGGTATATGTTCAACTACAGCCCTTCAAGTGCATCCTTAGTAAATCTAAATCATTTCACAGCTATCTACTCTAGTTTAATCTTCATGATACATTCGTGAAACCAGTCATTAACTAACCATCAGAAACCAGGTACCTAAATATTATTTTTCCATGAGTAGTGAAACATTCAAAGAATAAATAAAAGGACTGTCACCACTGAATAAACAGTTTAACCTAAACATAAAATTAAGATATAGATGCTATACAATTGAGATTTACTTACCATGTGAGGAGTCTCTGGAGGAGGCTTGTAAGGGTGTATAAAAGGCTCCCCAGTTACAAAAGGGTGTTTTGAAGCCTGCAAGAAAACATGCTAACATTTTAAGTACTTATAGCTTAAATTTTGCATTAACTAGAGCCAAATTTAGTTTAAGAGATGAGCCAATGTGGTCAATAAGACAATTACCTGAAAGGGTGACCAGCGTTTTGCGGGATCAAACTCAACAAGCCCTTTCAAAAAATCAATAAGAGCCAGTCGTATTTGACTTTCTATAACAAGTTCAATATATATAGCATTTATTAGTTCAACCAAGTTGAATAAGAGAAATGAAACATGCACGCAAACACAGAATAAAAAATAGAAAAATCAAGTTGAGCAGAAATTTTAAGCCTTTTTAGGAAGCTAACCTTTGACAATATCTTCTTTAGCTAGGTTTTTTCTGTAGGGATAGTTTGTAACTATTGCTTCAAGGTTCATATGATTAAAATACTCTTTTCCAATTGATGGCTTCTTCAATTCTCTCTGAACAAGAGCCACAAATATGATAATGATCATGTAATATTAAAAAAACGAACCAAAAGGAGAAAAGGAGTTGAAGAGATGCCACATTGTTCATTTTGGAGAAAGATCCTACAGCAAAAACAGTAACATATAAAACTTACAGTTTCATATTCTTCCACTGTCAATGCTTGATAAACACTTCTTCCATTTTTGGAACTCTCACTGCTCTCGATGTGCTGGAGACTCCCAATACACTTAAAGAATTTACTTGTGTTTTTGGCATCCCTTAGTACATAATCAGGTGGTTGTCCTCTAGAATATATTGACAACAATTATAATGTCAATCAAAATAGTAAACGAAATAAAGGAAACCAACTAAGTTGCTCAGGTGGTTGTCCTCTAGAATATATTGACAACAATTATAATGTCAATCAAAATAGTAAACGAAATAAAGGAAACCAACTAAGTTGCAGATGAGAACTAAATCTAATATTTTTGTTTCAAGTTCAAAATCTAATTTCTTAAAACAAACCTTCATTTCTGTCAGACAGAGACATAAGAATCTAAGATGTTAAAAGACTTTTGGGGTAGGAGAAAGTGAGAAACACCCTGTGATGTCATTGATGGGATCGACTTCAAAGGTTCAAAACAGTCTTCCAGTGTCTAATGTGAGACTTATTTTGGGCACAGAAATAGTGGTGTGAAACTGACCTCAGACCAGGTAGTTTGACCGGTAAACTTGGCACTGGCAAACCAGTTAACCAACTAGTCCCGGCAACACAATGATCAAATTGCTTAAAAACCTGTGCTAACAGGTTTGACTGCCAAATATTCACAAAACCAGCGACTTGCCAGTTTCTAGTGACCTCACATATTATCAAAAAGAAAAAGAGACTTAATCAGGGACAAAAACCAAAGGATAAGAGCATCTGCCAACCCTAATTGATGACAGAGAAAAATCAAACAAGACGTTGGGATCAACACCACATGCATCAGAGCAAACCAGGAACAACAGAGGGTTTGGAAATATATATACAATCTCAAAAAGGTAGGAAAAATCAAGTAACAAAATCACATAAAATCAAGGATAAAAATATCCTATGAATCAGGAAAGATTCTGACTTGGATTAATTTGCAATCCACATACAAAAATAATGAATAATTAAAACTTATTCTTCATTAAAATTAACCACATACAACGGGAGAAATCATTGATATAAGTAACAAATTATTTGGATCCACGAGTACTAATCATACGAGAAGGACACTAGACATCAGAATGAACCAAAGCAAAATTGGGAAGAAGCCTGTTTATTGGAAAGATCGGGAAACTGACTATGAGTATGTTTTCCCAGTTGACAGGACTCAATGCTAATTAGATAACTAGGAAAAGACCTAGGTACCATCTTCTAAAGTTTGGGAAGACCACGATAACCCAACTAAGCATGTATGGGAAAGGGGAACAGTGAGAAAAGCATGCTTGAGATGTGGTGAGGAGATAGTAAAGGCCATGAGACTCGTATTCGATGTCAATCATCTGTTCCAAACTAAGGTCCTGCAGTGTAACAGTGTCTTTAGTAAAGGTAATCAAACAATCATGAGATTGAGTTAAACAATAAACATAGAGTAAATTGAATGGACACCTAGTCCTTGGGATATAAAGGACGGAGTCAACTTGTAAGGACGGGTGGGGATGGACAGTATCGATATTTTCAGATTGCGTTTGGGAAGTATTGATTGTAGTGACACAAGATAAATAATCAGATGTAAAGAGAGAAGAAAAGAGTTTTATTACTATAGATATGGTCAACCGCACCAAAGTTAAAAACCCAAGAATCAAGGGAAGTAAACATAGATATGCAAGCAAATGAATTACAAATATGTGCAATCAAATCAATAGAACTAGACGAAGCTATGATTAAAACTCTTAGAATGTTTGTTTAAACCTAACTCAACCTCATAAAATCGACTTGTAAGGTGAGAGTTTCCTCTACTTATATACACTATTTTGGCCATATCACTAGTAGTCATTGTGGAATTTCTTCACTTATACACTATTTTGGTCATATTAGTAGTCAATGTTAAATCTCCAACATACTCCCTTAGGCTGAGAAATAGATATCTTGAGCATAAAGTTTGCACGAGCATGAAGTTTGTAGAGTTAGACATCTACATGTGGTCCAACGGACCCAACAGCAATCACCAATATGGGTTCTAATACCATCTTAGAATGTGGATTTGAGTCTAACTCAACCCACAAAACTAACTTGTAAGTTGGCGTTGTCTCTCAATTATATAGATTATTTTAGTCATATAACAAGTCAATGTGAGATCCTCAATAGAAACAAAAGAGCAAATAAGGTTGTTGATCATCAGAAAGTTGCAACTGATGATAGGAAGTGTACCAAAGTGGCAAACAAGACTAGAACATGGTTGCCAAAAAGTTGTCAACAACGGCAATGGGTCCACCAAGTAGGCACGGTTTTTAGAGTTTCCTCAACCTGGCTTTGACACCATGTTGAAAGAGAGGAAAAACAAAAGATATGTGGAAAATAGTGTGTCAAATGAGACCACGAAGCTAGATTTAAATAGGCTTAATATAATAGATGTATTTGATTGTATGAGATTTTGTTCCTATAAATCAAATATGAATTGCCCATAAACTCACTATTCAATAACTAAAAATTTGAATTTGATTTTCAACATTAACTTTTATACTTTAGAATATACATAAATAACACGTTAGAAACAATGTAAATAGGGCAGATTATACATTGTGTAATTACAATAATTATGGTAACTTTAAATCCTTGTATTTATTATCTATGGTTGGAATTGGCCCTCTAATGGTTCTAAAGACAACATGTGGGAAAGAGTTATTTATTCTGTGGTGTTTTGCTCATTTATATTTTAGGAGATTTTCTTTGCCAGACTAGACAGGTTGGATGTCATGATTTTAGTGGAAGGAAGACATTCCCCTGGTTAGAGGACTAATTTTTTTCACATATGTAAAACAAATTATGAAATTATTAAAATCTAATCATTGATTTTTCTAATCAACAGTTATAACTGCATTTTATCCTTGAAAGTGGCCCTGCACTTTACAGAATGTGAAACCATTTTGCTCCAATATTATTGCAGGAAAACCCTTGTTAAATGAAAATGGATACTTAAAATCCTTTAACCAATTCTCTTTAAGCTAACATGTAAAGTATAATTTAAATGAATAAAGAAAAAATATCTTCAAGGTAATACCACATCTTTTGCAAAATAAATTGTATAGCCACATAATTAAAATGTTTCCCCCATGAGAGAAAGTGGCATACCCAAGTATTTCAATCATCCGTTTCAGAAGATCAAATTCTGAAGCCCCAGGAAATAATGGTAATCCAAGAAACAATTCCGCCACTATGCACCCGAAGGACCACATATCAATAGCTGTTGTGTATCTGATAAGAGTTAAGAACTAACAAGAAGCAATGAGTACAAAAAATAATCTGAAAAAAAATATTTAAAAGAGAAAACAAAACTTTTGAAGAATATATTTTAATTATTTCATTAGTATCGGTGAAGCATGAGAATATAGAATACCATGTACATATTGCAATGTAAAAACATATTGAGGAGACATGAAGCTTAAGGAATAAAATAATGAAAAGCAACCCCAAAAGCAAAAATGTTTGAAAAGAAAGGCATCAGCTACTGATTTCATCATTTAGGATACTGATATCCAAGAAGAACCTCAGGTGATCTATAGTATCGACTCTGCAATAAAAAAAATAGAATAGGCATAGGTACCAGGCAATTATAATTACAACAGGAATTATCATAAAAGCTTACTTTCTACAGTAAACATAAACCTGAATATAAGAGTAAACGGTGCGGTTTTCCATGCATGCTGATCCAAAATCAATAATTTTTATTTCTGCTGGCTTCACAGGGCTACATATGAAACATAATTACATCAAATCTCATAATAAAATAGCTGCAGCATACATGGAAAATTTAAGAAAAAGATTTGAATCATCTGAATTGAGGGACTCACTTAATAGAAAGTAAAATAAAGAGTTATAACCAATGACTATAAAATAAACACGGAAATTGTGATTAAAATCATGCTCATGTATATAATAAATTGTGTAGTTATTTAAATCTCAACTGTTAATTTTTTTAATCAACAGTTATAACTCTTCATTTCCTCTCTGAAGTGAATCCCTCATTTTAGGTGTTAAATCCTTAAGAGAATAGCTGCAGCATACAGTTACTTTTCAGCACCTTCATGTAAGAAACCAACCTCGTACATAAAAGAATGTTTTCTGGCTTCAGATCACAATGAATAATGGCAGCCTCTTTTAGTAGAGCCAGTCCGCATAAAATCTTGTGACATAAATTTAAGAAATAGATTATAATAAGAAATCAAAACCAACCAATACCAAAGGAACAAGCGGAAAAGTCATACAAAGAATTGGCATACCTGCTTAGAAAATAGCTGAACAATACCAAGTGATAATCCCCTAAAATGATTCATCTTGATAAGCTCATACCTGTATACTACACAATGTCAACACTAAAATATACAAAAGAGAGAAAATAATAAATCTAGGATACTGACTTTGAAAAACTGGACTAATATGTTTAGTTCAGTAGAACTTAAGACCATTCCAGCTTTAAATGCATTCTCACTGATGATAACAAATTCTAAATGGAATAGAAAGGTCCAAAACTTACAAGTTTGTGTCCAGCAACTCAAAGCAAATGCACAAATGTCGTTGATATACAAAATAATCATATATACGAACAATGTGATGCTTATCCTCAGGATCATACTTCTTATTTAACTGCAGGAAAAAAGAGAGTATACATGAGTAATCTCTCATGCACTTCCAAGAAAATGACTAGCATCTTAATAGTACTAGTAATAATAATAACAGCAGCAGCAGGATGTTACCGTTGTTAAAATAGTTACTTCAACCAACGCCTGTTGATAGTAAGCAGGTTGATTTTTAATGATCTTCACAGCAACAAAACTGTTGGTATCTGAATCCCAGCATTTAGCCACTTGTCCAAATGTCCCATGGCCAAGGAGATCTTTGACAATATATCTGCAACACATCAAAATGCAAAGTTTATAAAGATGTCTGCAGTTGTCAATTGTGTAAGCTGGTATCAACTGAAAATCAACATTTTGGCTTTGGTATTCATCAATAAATATATATAATGATAACAAAACAAAAGGAAATATGGATAACAAACCTTTTATTTTTCTCTAAATGATTCAAGACAAAATTCACCGTCAAAATAAGATCTGAGTTTACATTATCATAGCCATCATTAAGCACTCCAACAGATGGGCTGGTCAAAAATCTTTTTGGATTTAGATCTTCAGAATATTTAAACTGTGGATTGCATATTTGGTATGTTTCAACAATTTCTTTGGTCAATCTAGCCACCAACTGTAAATTAGAAGTTGAGCATCAGTATAAAATCTTGGATATCATAAGCTCCAAACAGAAAGATATAAATGACAACATAATAATGTATCAAATTTCCATCTTATATCAAGATGATGCTAAAGATATATGTTTAAATAAATAGAAATGAATAAGAGAGAAAAGCCATATAGGCTATAAAACAATTGATAGGCAATTAGTAAAGATATATATATATATATATATATATATATATAGATAGATAGATAGATAGATAGATAGAGAGAGAGAGAGAGAGAGAAGAGGTGGGGATCAAGTTACTTTAAGAGTAACTTTAAAAGAGTTACTCTCTGTCCTCACCCTCTATTTTCTCTCAATCTAACAGTTCTAACAATTAATTCATCTTTGACTGTTAGATTGAGAGAAAATAAAGAGTGGAAATGAAGAGTAACTTTTCTAAGGTATATATATTTGGAGAATAAATTATCTTTCTTATTAGTTATTTGAATTACATGAGTTATATAAGAAGACATGACTAGGAGAGATCCTAACCATCCTGATTACAAAGTAAATATTAAGATAAGATAGGGAGAAAATAAAGAAGAATAAAATAAAATCAAGACCTGAATAATCTGATCTTGATCATAACACCTATATTTTCTAAAAATCCTAATTTGAAATGTAAATTTAAAATAAAAGCGCATATAGTTGTCAACACACCCTCAAGTTGGTGCATAGATGTCCTGCAAGTCCAACTTGCTTATAAAGAATTCAAAACTAAACAATCCTTTTATATGAATGTCCACCACTTGCAGTGAAGTGGAAACAATGGCACTCAAATTAGGCCTGCCTCCACCTTCACTTTTATAAAATGTCTTTCAATTTCTACATGCATGATCTAGTCATGTTGAATTGGAAATAGTAATTGCAGTCTTGTTATTTCATTACAGCTCCATGGGGAGACTTGTGGGAAGTGGTAACTCTTCTAAAATTCTTTTAAGCCATGGAATTTCACAAACTCCTTGTGCCATTGCCCTATGTTCAGCTTATGAATATGAACTACTTCTAGCCACAACATTTTGCCTTTTGCTTCTCCAAGTACAGTAGCCAAATGTTGACTTTTGGTCAATAATGGGCCCATCCCAGTCCACATTTGTGAATACTCAAATGCCTTGCTACCCAGTTCTCTTAAAAAACAATCCTCTACCCAAAGCACTTTTGAAATACCTCAAAACCATGTTGCCTCAAGGTGTTCTTCAAGTGCTGAGTGCATGAATTGGCTTAATAAGCTTACTTCAATATCTATACTTGGTCAAGTTAGAGATAAATAAACCAATCTTCCCACCAATCTTTGGTACCAAGTTGTATCTATTGGATCTCCGTTGTCTTCACATAAACAATTAGCTCGGGCATTTTTCCTCTAGAAGAATGTTTTACAAACATTCTATCCTAACTTTGGGATTGAGCATACCCTTGTTTCTTAATAAATTAGGCAAATCTCTCAAACCAAGCTCTAAGTGATTGTTTCAATTCATGTAGAGATTTTTGAAGCTAGCATACCTTTTGATGAAAATGTGATTCAAAACCTAGGGCTACATCCATGTAGACATCTTCCTCCAAATCCCCAATTAAAAAGGCATTCTTCACATCTAGTTCATGGAGTGAGTAGTGACCAGTCCAAATTTGTGGTTAACGACAAAAGAACTCTAATGGTGTTTAACTTCACAACATGGGCAAAGGTTTTTGAGTGATTAATAACATAAGTCTAGGTAAAGCCTTTAGCAACTTTTGCTTTGTATCTATCAATAGACTAATATGCCTTATACATGAAACTTGAGGGTAAACACCCATTTACACACCACAGTTGTCTTTCCTCTAGACAAGTCCACACTTTTTTCCTAGTCAGAAAAACATTTAAGAAATAGGTTGGGTAGCATGACTCAGCACGAACCCAAACCTAAAAAACTATTGAAAACAAAAAGAAAAAAGGTTGAGTTTGTGACCTGACCCAAACCACAGCCAAAACAATTAAGGTTTTTGCTCATTGCACTCATCATTTTTAAAAATTTCCTAAATTACCTTTACTTCAACTTTTCCCAACCTGGAATATTAAAAATGTGCTCTGTTATATTCAATCCGGTATGTTAAAAGTGTTCTGGGACCCCATTCCGGAATGTAAATATTTGTTCCAAAGCATCTAATCAAGAATGTTAAATGTGTTCTAGAACACCCATTCAAGAATAATGAGGATGTGTGTCAGATTACCTATTCCGAATTAAGAAGATATGTTCTGAAATACACCCGATCCAGAAAGTTAAAAGTATGTTCCAAATTGGGATTTCCAAAACAACTCTTTTACTTGTATGAATACTTGCGTTGGGAATGAAGAAACCTCGGTGTCTAAATCAACTACACTAACAAAATTCTTTCAATATTCTCACTCCACACAAGCCCAATTAACATTGAACAAATCAAGGCTAATAACTTATACCCAATAATCAAGGTTAATATGTTATGCTAGTGGAGGACACGCAGCACCACATGTTGGGTTGACTTGCATCGAAAGTGGAGAAGGCATAGCTGAACGGGCAGAGATTGGTGGTCATACGATGCAAAGAAATTTGCTTATTGGGGTTCTCGCTGTGCAATGTGGTCTGTCTCCACATCAATCGTTACTAGTGTAAATTCCCTTTTGGTCACCAAGAAACATTTTATTCTCATCATCAAAAGATAGTGCTCCAGATTACAAACTTTGCTCATTGTTCTGAATTACAATTTTTTATTTTCCAGATTTACAAAATTTTTATTTTATGGATTGGTGTTCCAGGACACATTTTTAACATTCTGGAATAGGTATTTTGGAACACATTTGATATTTTGTAATAGGTATTCCGGAACACAATTTTAACATTTCAGAATGGGTATTTTGGAACACATGTAACATTTCGGATTGGGTGTTCTGAATTTGGAAAGATTGAAGTCAGGGTAGTTTAGGAATTTTTTCAAAATGACGGATGCAATAAGAAAATGCCAATAATTAATTAAAAATCCACTAGTTAGAAAACCTTGCATATGAAAAGAAAGGCTTTGACAGTGTCATCGCAAAATAGCATAAAGTTGGATAATTGCCGCACCAAAGTTGGACTAGCACCGGACCACCTCTGTACTCAAAGACTATCATAGCCATCCCCTACACTTAGTGTCACCATTTTCAAACAAAAGATCATGGTAGACTTTGTACTTCTTTAGGATAGAGATAACACAAGCTAAGAGTGGTATTGTCATTTCCCAAAGGAAGTATGCAATGGATATTTTGAAGGAAACAAACATTATGAATATTAAGCTTGTTGACACACCAATGAATCCTAACTCCAAACTTCTACCAGATTAGGGGAAGCCACTTTTAGATCCAGGAAGGTACAGACAACTAGTAGGGAAGCTGAAGTATCTCACTATCAATCGACTAGTTATTACCTTTACAGATAGTGTAGTGTGTCAGTTTCTTAACTCTCTTTGTAAAGGGCATTCAGTTGTTGTCATTCATATTCTAAAATATTCAAATGAGCTCCAAGAAAAGGTCTTTCATATCAAGGTTATCGATAACGGATAACGGTCTATAGCAGTGAGGCCGAAAATCCTTTATAACTCTATGGCGGATGCTATGGTGGCCTACGGCAGACGCCATGGTGGACAAAAAATAAATAAATAAATAAATAAATAAAATATATATATATATAAAGAAAACAACAAAATAAATAACAAGCAACAAAACTAAATTAAAAGCAACATAATATCAACTTAAATACTTAAATATCATAACAACAATACCATAATTCATTAAGAAAGGACTCAAAGGAGTAGGAAAAACTAAAAGAAGAAGAAGGATTAAAACTGAAGAAAAAAAAAGGAGAATTAAAACAAAAAAAATAAAAGGAGGAAAATTAAAACTGAAAAGAAAAAAAAAAGAGAGGATTAAAACTGGAAAAAAAAATGGAGAATTAAAACTGAAAAAATAAAAGGAGGAGGAGGAGGATTAAAATTGAAAAAAAAATGTTAAATTTTAAGTTTATCTATGTCGCCGGAGTGTTGGGCCACCACGGTTCAGGTCGCCGACTAGAAAGGGGACCAAGGGACGGTGAACGATGGTGGATAGGGGCAGTTTCGACTTCCGTAAGTGTTGTACACGCGTCGTGGACCTGTGGTTGCTCGCTGGAGTGTTGGGCCACCGCAGTTCAGATGGTCGGTCAAAAAGGTGACCGGACAGCAGCGATCAGAGTTTAACGAAGGTGACCAGAGAGGTTTAAAACCTAGGGCAGATTGTGCGACTGTGCGTGACCTCCTCTTCCAAGTGCAGAACTTCGCGCGACTGAGGGAGAAGTGAGTCGAGCCAAAAAAAAATTAGGGCTCATTCCATTTGGGCCTGTTTCGAAGCCCAAAAATAGGTTTTTTCATAAAAAAAAACCCGTCATGACTGCCATGACCGCCATAAAGCTTCATGGCACCATGACCATGGTGGGCGCCATATCAGAAATGGCGGACACTGCCATAAACCTTCATAAAACGGATGGCAAATAGCGGTTTGGACTTGAACCGCGACGTTTTTCCGTTATAACGGCGTTATAATGGATATTTGACAACATTGTTTCATATGAATAAAAAGGTCATACTCAAGTGGGATATTTAGGGGCAAATTGGACGAGTTCTCCTCATAGAATATCTACCTCCAGATATTGCATTCTTATTGGAGGTAACTTGATTTCTTGCAAAAGTAATTTGTTGCACGATCTAGTGCAAAAGCGAAGCATCGAGGCATGGCTTCAACCACTTGTAAACTTAATTGGCTCAAATAATTGCTTAAAGAGCTAAAGTTTGGAGATGTTACACATATGTCACTCATTGGTGATAATCAAATTGCCTTAAGAATGCTTCAAATTTAGCATTCCATGAGAGAACTAAGAACATTGAGGTAGATGTCACTTCATCACGGAGAAGATCGTAAACGGTAACATCATTTTGTCAATTCTAAGAATCAATTTGCAAATGTCTTCACTAAGTTTTTGAGGGATCCTCAAATTGATCATATTTGTAACAAACTTAGTGCACATTGTTTATATGCTCCAACTTGAGGAGTGTTAGATATTGTAGATTTTTTTAATCATGATAATTAAGCAATTGTTGGATATTATTAGTATTATCAAAATAGGGTATATAAATGGAGGGGGCAACTATCATCTTACAAGTCAGTTTTGTAGAATTGTGTTAGGCCCAAACCCATATTTCTAAGATGGTATTAGACTCTATCCTAGATCCATCAAAAAGGGTCACCCACCATATTATCCATGTACCAAGCCCAATAGAGCTTGCTGTGAGGGGATGTATTGGAAAAGGCCAAAATCCCTTATCAGCTAGAGATATGGTCATAATATAGTATATAAGTGTGTGTATGTGTGTGTGTGTGTTGGGGGGGGGAGTAGGGGGGGAACTCATCTTATGAGTAAATTTTGTAGGATTAAGTTAGATCAAAACCCACATTTCTAGGAATTAGATATCCTTAATTATAGTAATTAGGCAATTCTAGGATTTAGTCATGTCTCTTGTTTTCTCTTCTTCCCAACAGAAACCACCTTACAACGACTATATGCTTTACATTAAATACAAGCAAATCACCTAATCTTATCCCAAATCAACTTCCAAGCTCCAAGCTAATGGAACTACAGGCTCCAAATGCATCACCAAATAGTAGTGTATGTTTATCATTGTCAAAAGAAATTTCTATGCTTAAAGCCTTAAACCAGTGCACATAAAGATTTAGCCTCTATATACCAAACCACTAAAGATAGATAATAGATATTATTCCAAGGACACAAGGCACACTCAGCATTGACCAAAAACAGGTATATTGAATCGAGGATAAAGAATCAGTAACAAAAGGAGGCATGAACAGGTGATTAGCAGATTTTGAACATGCATCATACATAACACGCATATTAGGCAAAAGTGACTACAAAACTGGAACATATCAGTAGCACAATGCAACAAAAGCTATCAATTGGAAAAGGAATACTCCAAGGAATCAAGGTTATCGAATATAATCAACAAGATTCAATCCATACTTCCATTCAGAAATTTCCTATCATTTATGAAAAAAACATGAAAATTCCAAGAAAAATGGAATCTTCAACGCAATCAAAATTGTGGATAGCTTAGTTATGTAAGGGACAACTGACAAGAGCACAAAAAGCACAGGAGCTGGATCCAGTACAAAAGGATAGCATGGTATGCCATCATTCAATCCACGACCCAAGTGATAATCTTTTCCCATTTAGCATACTTCCTCTTTACAATTTTTTCAACCGTTGCTGGGAAGAAGAAGGGTGAAGACGGAAGACTGAAGACCGCGAGAATCCAACACAACAAACGAACCAAAAGCATATCTACAGAATACATAAAGTCCACCATACCTAGAAATCTTAAACAATAATAGACCCACACCCCACTAACCACAACTGAAGTGTATGCACCCCAATCAAGGTTTCATTTCACTCAAAGGCTCCACCTCTAGCACCCCTAAATCCCAACACACCCGCCACTCTTTTCACTCAAAAGAAACACCTTTTTCAGCCAAAACCTCACACCGCAGCATTCTGATCACAAAAACACAAAGCAAGCAAGCAAGCCAGTTGAATCACAAACTCACTCCGACAGAAACCACGAGCAATCAAAACGAGAGAAGAAACTCACGGGTTTCCTCACAACCACGCGCAGCGGTTGCGGCTTCTCGGAAGCAGCTTCTTCTTGGGGAGCCTTCGGCACACAGGGAGCGAACGCAGAGCCGCGGGGACGCCATCCCGAGGCCAAGTCTCTGCACTGAGGCTGCTCCTCCGCGCGTGCGACCCCATCCATGACCCACACAACAGAAAGTTAGAGAGAAAGAGAGAGAGAGAGGCCCAAATTCAAGTGAGAGAAAGATTCACTTTCCCCAATTTCACTTCCATTATTGCCCTTCCCTTCTCATCACCGTCTCCACTGCGCAAGTGCTACCAACGGATTTCAATCCCATCACGGGCCCAACCTCCAGAACCCTCCGATGGCCGCATCGAACCCGAGATCCATCGATTGGGGGCTTCGCCTCGCTGTTTCGAACGGAATCCGATGGAAAGAGAGTCCCAAAAGGGAGAATAGGGATCGATCGGAATTGGGGTTTTGCTTTAGCGAAAGGGGATTGGATTATAATTTAGCTTCGAAACGAAGAGAGAGAGGATGCAATGGGTGGGTGTTTTCGTTGGTCTCGGAGACAGGCACGACACGCCGTCTTGCTTCGGTCCAAGCAGTGATGAGGAATTATTTGGTGTTGCTTCTTTCTTATTTTTTGTTTTTGTGGGAACAAAAATCCTCTCTAATGTTGTTACGTTCTCTCTGACTCTGTGACACCCATCAACACTCCCTCATTCCAACTCTAGCTTCATTTACCTTTTTATTCTTACTTTTAATAATTAATAATAGCTATAACTATACCTCCGTGTTCACAAGTTTATCTTGTTTAAAATATTCTTTGGATTTTTATAAAATTATTCTTAGGATTTACATTTAATATATTTTTAGGAAATAATTAAATTTAAGATGAAATAATTGTAAAAGTTATAATTCTATTTTTTTTAATTATAAAAAATGAAAAAGTTATGAAATATTGGAGCATTATATTGAGTAAAATGACAATTTAATTTTGATAAATGGACAATTTATTTGTTTTTAATTAATTAATAATATAAGAATAATGAGATAAAATTAAATTTATAAATTTATTATATAGGTGAAATAAATAATTTTACACTATATTTTTTTATAAGCATGTTATGGTGTTAAATATTTTTTGGTAGTTAACACAAAAATATTTAAATTGTGGTGGCTTAAGTATGCAGAAGGAGTGGGAATTCATGACATTTTACAAAGAGAGACAAAAGTCACAATAATAAAAGTTAGAGAATACATTTTGCAATATTATATAACGTATAATTAAGCCTAAATGCTTATTTTCAACATAGTTATATATGAATAATATTCATTACTTATAATATAAATATTGATTTTGTGATTTAGATATCTATAAAAGTTTATATCAAGTTTTCATCACTATGTGATGCAAACAAGTAACTTTATATTTTATTTATAAAGACACTACCATAGTAATATAAAAAAGAATTCTTATAAAGTAAATATTAAAATACTTCCGTATTCTTTTAATATATTAGTAAATTATGTAACATAATTTCAAAATTTATTTTTAAATTATAAATAAATACCAAATTTATATATATTATTTTACCCGATTTATTCCGTCAAAAAAATCAAATAAACATCTGATTTAATATTATAATATAGAAAGAAGATTATTAAAGAATGTGAAAGTATAAAAATCTCTCAAAATCGTTGAAAGATTTAAACACTAAAAATAATTATAAATTATTTGACAATAAATATGTATACAAAAATTTATAAAGTATAACAAAAATAAATATTTATTCTAAATTTTAAAAGTATATTTAAAACATAGTTATTATTTTATGTAATTTAATTCATATTTTATTGAATTTAAATTTTAAAAAATGACTAACAAATAATGATATATATATATATATATATATATATATATTTATCTTTTATATATATATATATTTAACTTTTCATAGAATAATTATACAATTAATAAAAAGTAATATATTTAGAATAAATAAATTAATGATCTAATATGATGCAAAGCTAGTAAATAGGTACGTTAAGAGTGGGATCATGATGAGAAACTTTTATTTTTACTAGTGAAAAATAGACTTTTAAAATTGATTATTTTTTACTCTAAAATTGATTAAAAAAACAGATATTAAAAGAGTTGATTTTAGCTAGACTTTTGAAGTTAGATGAAAACACATAGAAGGGAGGTTAAATATGTGTATGTGCATGAACGGAGGAATTTTAAAAACTTTTTCGCAAAGAAGCTCTTTTTCGTCCAGTAAAAATATTATTTTGATTGCTTAGAAAAATTGTGCAGAGTTAATTTAACAAAAGATTTTGCATCTGAAGGTTTATCATCTACATAGGGAAAATGTTTCTTAAGCGAAAAATGTTCTTTAAGATAATGAATTAAACGAGTGTGTTTTTCATCTGAAAATAGTTGTAATAAGCATTGGACGAAGTTTTCAGTATGATATATTGACAAAACGAAATTGCGTCTGAAACATAGAAAAATAGTGCAAAGACTTTTATACTAGTTCACTCAAACTAAGCTAGTATTCTTTGTTCAGCTACTTTTGGCTTGCAGTGAGGATTCTTTGACAAGCCTCTCTAGGCTTTTACAAGTATTCTTTCCCTAGCCTCTTCAGGCTTTACAAATAGATGACTTGGTTTGAGTGTTTGGTTTACTCTCACAAAGAGGATACAAATATTTGACACACTCACTAAGGTGCATGTTCCTAAGTTACACTTAAAAATCCTTAGTCTTCAGAGATAAATACAAAAATTGTACATTTGACTGTATACGCTCTATCTCTGGTTTCATTGCTTCATGGACTTGATATCACTCTTCGCCAATGCCAAAGCCAACCTTTATAGGTTTGAAGTTGTGATATATATATAGTCTTGTAAAATTTGCACGTTGCAAATGTCGGTTGAAGCAGAGTGTAGTCGTTCATGACTAGTTATATCTTTCATTTAATGCTCAAGATCTTGCATTAAATGTTGCTTCTTGTTTATAGACATTGCGTGAAGTCTTCTTCATTTTGTTAGCAGCAGTGCCCGACTTCAGCTGAGACCTAGGAACTTTTTGTCCTTTTTCGGTCACGTAGCTGTAGAGGCGTTGTCCTTATCTGAAAAAGTAATGTACTTTTTCTGACATGTGCATGCTTTTACTTTTGGGGTCTTTTTCTTCTTCTTCTTCTTCTCTTCCTTTAATCACGCGATCATATTGAGAGCTTTCGTATGATTGTAGATGATGCTTGAGTTGTCCCTTGAGCTTAATTCTTCAAATACTTTCATGGCAGTCTTCATCTGCATCTGTTAGTCCATGTACTTCTCAAGTCTAGATTTTTGTCTGAGCATTTTTCGTTAATATTTTTTACTTTCTTTGGTCTGGTCAACATTGTAGATGGATAGACTTTGTTTCCGTCTGGAATGCTTTTCAGTTTGTGCTGTCCTTCGTCTGATATTTCGTTCACTTTTACTTTATTCTTGACCAGCCTTTGTCTGATTTCTTATGTTGCGCTCTAGGTTGTGCTTGACACACTTTCGTATGATATTTGATTCATTATCATCTGGCGCACATGTTGTATTCCATTTATCATTTAATTTTGCTTTGTCTGATCTTCATGTTGTGTTTTGCCTTGGCTTATCTTCGTCTGATACTTGAAGAAGTTCCGTCTTTGGTCTGTATCTTCTAAAGCTTAATTATTTTCCTTCTTGTGTTAAGCTTGGCTTCATTTGATCTTTTCGTCTGATGCTTGAAGTGGCACACTAGCACACTTGTTGAACCTTCCTTTATCTTGGTTCCAGCATGAGAAGTTGCACATGCTTTCATCTGAGCATTTTTCGTTAATGTTTTTGACTTTATTTGGTCTGGTCAACATTGTAGATGGAGAGACTTTGTTTCCGTCTGGAATGCTTTTCAGTTTGTGCTATCCTTCGTCTGATATTTCGTTCACTTTTACTTTATTCTTCACCAGCCTTTGTCTGATTTCTTATGTTGCGCTCTAGGTTGTGCTTGACACACTTTCGTATGATATTTGATTCATTATCATCTGGCGCACATGTTATATTCCATTTATCATTTAATTTTGCTTTGTCTGATCTTCATGTTGTGCTTTGCCTTGGCTTATCTTCGTCTGATACTTGAAGAAGTTCCGTCTTTGGTCTGTATCTTCTAAAGCTTAATTATTTTCCTTCTTGTGTTAAGCTTGGCTTCATTTGATCTTTCCGTCTGATGCTTGAAGTGGCACACTAACACACTTGTTGAACCTTCCTTTATCTTGGTTCCAGCGTGAGAAGTTGCACATGCTTTGGTCTTCAACTTGCATGTACTTATATTTTTTTGAAACACTAACACACTTGTAAGAAATAACAATATGTATTATATTTGTCTCATTTAAAACTTTGCTAGGAATTGATCAAATTATTTCAGATAAAACTAAATTAGAGTAATTCGTAGTTCATAGCAGCAAGTTCAAGTTCGCATACTACAACTCCCCCCCTTAGTATATGCTCTCCCCTTACTAGATTGTCTTAGTCATTTTGATTCAGATAACATATTTGATTAATTCTTTTTCTATTTCTTCCCCTTTATAATCATAAAAAAGAAATAGGTGAATTTATAATAAAATTCTGATACCAAAACAAGATCATACATAGCACATTATAACTTCGAGCAGAGCATTCCATACATCAAAACAATAACTTTGGAGGAAAAATGTATACTGTATTGAATTGAATTGAATAGCAAATGTATACAATGAGAAGAATCAATACAACCAAATAAATAAAGAATACATTATTCTACAATTATTCTCCCCCTAACTGTGTTATCCCTAAGCTAGTTTCCCTAGAATGATCAAGAAGATGGAGGTAGATCCTTGGAAAGCTGAGATGCCATCAAGTTGAATAGACGATCCAACTTGTCATCCAAGTCTGCTCTAAACTTGTTGAATGTCTCTATAGAGACATATTGTTGTTCTAATTCAGACGCAGCTAGAAGAGCCTCAGGAGGGGTAGACGCTGCGATAGGCTTAACATAGATGGGCTTAGATGATTCAGACTATGTTACTTCAAAAGGAGCATTCCAAGGCATAGGCATGCCTGGTTTCCATGATGGAATGTCCCTACACCATTCGTAGATAGGATCTTTATACCATGTGTCTATGATAGCCTTCCATTCATCCTTTTAGAGATCTAAATTGAATAGCGCCGAATGGATGAAGTATTCCTTGTTGAGAGCGTTAAGCTCTAGCTCACCTCTCTTGTTACGAAGAAAGGCGACTGATGTATCGAAAAAGTGCATCAATTTGCATGGGGTCATCCAGCGATACCCACGTAGCATGAACGTCTTTTCCCTTTCTTCATCTGAGAGACTAGACGAACGTGCCTCCAAACTACACTTATGCATGAAGTTTTGATAGACCTTTTCAGCATCATCTTCAGTGCATTGTAGTGCATTTGCTAGGTCTTGTGGCTTGTCCAAGCTTACCCCAAGATAGTTGCGAACCTCAACCCTTGAGGGTTTGGGCATTGGTCCGAGATAAAGTACGAGATGCTTTATCTTATTCTGATCGATTGAAGGAAGACGAGGGCAGATACGGTCAAGGTAGATAAAATTTTGTGTATCTTTGGGGGTGTATAGGGAATGAGGTATGTATAAATGTAAAGGTGTATCTATACATAGGCGCAAATGGCTAATTGTTGCAAGGTCAGACGCTG